TGGGGCAGAGTAGGACAGGCAGCTGCCCCCAGTGATGTGGGGCTGAAGTGGCTGTGTCCCAGGTCATTCCTCTGCAAGGGGGGGATTTGCCTCAATGCTGCCACAGGGGCACTGCCAGGAGCTGGGGACACCCCACTGAGAGATGATCCTGGTCACACCTGACCACCATCATGTCCCTCTAGGTTCCCACACTTCCCTGCCTGGTTTTTGCCTTCAAACGGGATTTCGGCTCTTGCTGTCAAAACCCATCAGTGCTCCAGCAGTTTCCAGCAGTCCAAGTCCCTGCCCAGCCCCGAGGCAACAACATCCCACTCGTGGCCTCATCCTGCAAACCATAGAGACTCATTGCCCGCGGTGCTGGCTCGTGCCGCCAGCTCCAGCACCATCAGGTGCTTCGGAGAGAGGTGGGTGTGAAATCACGCCGGAAAATGCATATTTTTGCGTTTCCCCGGCAGGTTCACTGATGTTTTTAGGGCAGCGCTTCGAGGCCACCTGGAGTGTCACCCACAGCCTCCAGCACCCGGATGGCTCTGCGGGGCGGCGGGTGCAGCATTTTAGGCAAAAGGTGGGAATAACATTCAGCCAAGCGTGGCCACGGCTCTGACCCTGCTGGGCTCCATCAGTGCGGGTCACCGAGCGGCGACGGCTCCTTTGCATCCCGGCTCCGACTCCAGGTCTAGGCAGGTTTCGTCTGCCGAGACCTCCTTATTCCCTATTCCCCCCCAGCATCACCGCAGGGACAGCCTGGGCCACATCCTGACCTCCCCCCAGCTACCCCCCTTACTTCACTAGGCACAGAGAGCTTGTGGCTTCCTCTCAGCTCTTTAGGAAATTAAACTTTTATAAGCAGAAAGGTTTCTGGGCTCTTGGCTCCCCGGCGCAGGAACCGCAGCCCAGCCTGTGCCTGAACCCTGCCCACTGGCTGCTCCTCTGGCAGGGAGGGATGGAGGCTGGATGCCCCATCGATGGGTTGAGTGATGGCAGGGACAGGGACGTGGCTGCCCATGACCTTGGTGTCATCCTTGACCTGGAAATCTCCTTCTCCTGCATCGCCAGTGTTGCACTCCTGCCTGTGGCCACCTCTAGCAGGGCTCTGACACCCTCACCCAGGCTGGAGCTGCACCTCATGCTGTCACCCACTGCCACACCACTGACGACATCCCAGCGCACAAAATCCACCCTGAATCCCACCAGTGTCTCCACAGATGAAGCTCACGGGGCGCAGGAGGCCCAAAATGCCCCCAGGAATCACAGCACTTCCCTGGCCACGCCGCCACCATCCTGCCACAAACGCCTTCACCCGTGTTGGCACCTTTCCCCCCGCGAGCAGGCACATGGAGCTGCTTCCCTCGGAGCTGTTCAACCGAGGCTCGGATCCTGCTGCCCCGAGCCCTGCCACGTCCTCCAGCCTCAACCCCGGTCCCCGGCAGCGGGATGTGGAGTGGAAGGTGGTGGCAGTGCCACCATCAGCCCGTGCTGCCTCCCACCAGCACAGCCTTGCATTGCCACCACCCTGACAAAACCAGCCGCCCCTAAGCCCCACAGAGGGGTTTGGCCCCAGCCCAGCACCGCCCCATCCTCCCTCACCTCACACGTGGGGTGTCCCCTCTGCACCCCACTTGGGGTGAATGCTGAGGATTGGGACCCCCTTCCCAGGGACACCTGGCCAGGGTGAGGTGGGAAGGGGAGAACCTCTCGGCAGGATGGAGGCCTCTTCTAACTGCCTGTTGAATTATTCAGGAATGGTATTAACTTATAAATGAGTGTGTTTGACTGATTTTGTGGTTGATGTACAGATAAATTCTAATGAAAGACAGCTACAAGATTTTAAATTATTAATTAGACTGCCACTTAACAAAGCCTATTTGGCACTCTATTTCCTTGCTTAACAAGACAAAAACTTTAAGAATAGGTTTTGCTTTAGCCCACAGGCTGTTCAATTTGCATTTTGTTTTTCTAGTTCCACAAATGAAAGCTGTAGATCTTGACCTTAACAGGCTACCCCTGGTGGGATCCAACCCTGCCGGCAGCCTCTCTGCCTGCCTCCACCTCAGGCTCCCAGTTTCCCAGCCTGGATGATGCTTTTCCTCCAGCCAGCAGCACCAGGGCTGGGAATCAAGGCTAGGAACCGTGACTGCTCCGAGGGCTTGGGGTTTGTTCTCAAGTCATCCAGCCTGGTTGGGTTAATACACTGAACAAAGCTGATGCAGGAGCCGGAGAAAGGAGCATCCGAGCGCGAGGCCCCAAAACCACAAGGTGACATTCCCCCAGTGGGAAAAAGCATCCCTGGGGTGGCAGTGGGGGGTCTGCCCTGCCGGGGGGTCCACACCCCGATGTGGGAGGCTGCGGGCACAGCATTGGCTCCTTCTCCCACAGCCGGAGCCTCGCTGGAGAGAGGCATGTGGCGGTGATGGCGAGGGCTGGGCCTGGGGCTGTGCAGCTGCCCCCTCCCCAGGGCACGGGATGGGATCGGGGGGTCCACCTGGGATCCCCCCGCATGGCACTGCTATCCCCAGCATCTCCCAGGACGGGCCCCGGGTGCAGTGGGACTGGGGGTCCTGCCCCCCCCCCCACCGCCCCGCGCCCCCGGGAGAGTCGTCTGCTCCCCTCGCCGTGATGTCACAAAGCTCCCCGATGATGTCCCAGGCGGTTGCCATGGAAATCGCGTGATGTCACAGCGGAGCGATTCTCCTCGGGGGGGCGGAACGGGACGGCTCGCCCCAACTTCCCCGCCGAACCCCCCGCGCCCCTCGGGCGAGCCCCGTTTCCCGTTCCCTCGCTCTGAGGGACGAGCACCGGATCCGCCGCGCCTTCCGCAGCCCCGCTGCCTTCGGGACCCGTCGTACCCCGGTGCCCGCGGGACCCGCCGCGCCCCCGGTCCTGCGGGACTCGGCGCCTGCTATGCCTCTCCTCCCGCTCCTCCCGGGCTCCCGCCTTCCCGGCGCGCTGCGCTCCCGCCGGTGCCGCTCCCCGGGGGGTGCCCGAGCCTCGCCGGCGGCGCCGGTAAACGCGGTGGCGGCGGGGGGCGCCCGGCGGCGCGGCCCCAACTTCGGCGGGGAGAAGACAAACTTCGGGGCCGGCCCCGCTGCCCCCGGCGCCCACGGCGCCCGGTGCCCTCCCGGTGCGGCGCTCACCTTGGCGGAGCATCTTGGAGCCGGGGCGGGCGCGGTCTCCCGGCGGCGGCGGCGGCGCTCAGAGCCTCGGGCGCGGCGGCGGCGAGCGGTATCGGCGGCGGCGGCTGCTGCTGTACCGGGAACGCGGAGCCGGAGCCCGGGCGAGCGGCCCCCGTGGGGGCATGGCGGGCCGAGCCGCAGCGGCACCGGGGAGCGCCGGCCCCGGAGCACCGGGGAGCGCCGGCCGCGCCTCTGCCCGCCGCGCGTCCCGCCGCCGGCTTTTAGGGGGGAGCCGCCCCCTCGGGGCTGGGGCCGCCGCCGCCCCCCACCCCCTCGGGCAGAGCCTATAAAGGGGCGCCCGGTGCCGGTGCCGCGCTGCCTGCAGCGGCGGGAAGGGCTGGGCAGGGCGGGGCGGGGCAGCGAAGCGACGGGGCGGGCAGGGCTGGGCTGGGCCGGGCTGGGCTGGGCTGGGCGAGCCCCCCCTCGGGCCCCCCCTTCCACCGCCGCCGCCGCCTCTCCCGCCTCCCGTGGACAGTTCGTGAAAGTGCCGCTGCTCCCGTTCCCCGCGCCGCCGCCCTCCCTGCACCCCACCGCGGGGTATGGCCCGGCGCCGCCCCTCCGGGGCTCTGCGGTCCCCTTGGGGACCGGTCGTCACCCCCGCCCCATCGTTGTCCCCTCTGCCGTTGTCGTCGACTCGGAGTCCCGGTATCACACCGGGGCTCTGCCGCGCCGCCCCGCGCCTGCCGTGGTCACGGCTGTCCCCGCTGTCCCGCCCGCCTGGCACCGTCCTTGCCGCTCCCCGGGGACCCAGCGTCTCCTCCGGCCCTTATTGTCTCCTCTGCCCCGTGTGTCCCGGTGTCCCGCCGAGGTCCTGCCGCCCGATCCGGGTCTTTGCTGTCCCCGCTGTCCCCTCTGCCCCGCCACGGTTCCTGCTGCCCCTCCTGACTCCCTGCAGCTCCCTATCATGCCCTCCGCTCCTTGTCGTCCCCTACGCCCCACTGGCTCCCTGCTGAAACACCAGGGTCACGGATACCCCACTGGGAGTCCGCTGTCCACTCCGCATCCCGGTCCCTGCTGTCCCCTTTGTCTCCCGGTTCCTGCTGTCCCCCGCACTCCTCGCCGCGGTCCCGACACCCCACCGGGGCCCCGCTGCCGCCGGACTGTCCCTCCTGCCTCTCGAGGGTCCCTTGCCCCTCCTCCCTTTGGCACCAGTGGGGGTCCCATTATCCCATCCGGAGTGCAGCTGCCCCACTGACCCGCCGGAATCCCCGCTTTCCTCGGGGGATCTCCTCTGCCTCCTCGGTCTTCTATCGTCCCCCCGAGGTCCCGCTACTCCCGGACTATTCCTCCTGAGGGCTAGGGTCCCTCTCGCCTTCTCCCGTTATCCCACCAGGAGCGCTGCTGCCCCCATTGCCCCACCGAGGGTTCCGTTATCCCTCTGGGAGCGCTGCTGTCCTTCCTACACCCCCGCGGAGGTCCCCGCCATCCTCGGGTTCCTCCTGCCCCACCCCTCGCTTCTGCCCCACGACACGGGTAGCGGGGGGACACACGGACCCGTCACCATGACAACGTTCCCGGTGTCCCGCGTTAACATTAGAACCGGCAGCCCCGGGGGCCGTCACCGCCAGGCGAGATGCAACAAAGCTGCCTCCCCGACGTGAAGTGGGGGACAACCCTGCCATCACAAACTCTTGCCACACCCCACCGCACGCCCAGCGCCCAGCCGGACCATCATCATCCCCCCACTCCCCGGTCCCCGCCGCCCGTCCCGTCCCGTCCCATCGGTGCCCGGTGGGTGCGCTCCCCCCCCAACCCCTCCCGCGCTCGATGTCTCGGCCGGCGGCTGCTCCGGCCTCGCGCGGGGCTCGCTTGGTGCTGCCTGGCCGCCCCCACGTGCGCCACAGCAATGGCGGCCCCCGTGAGGGCCGGGAGCGCGGCCCCGGTGCCCGCCAGAGGTGCGATGAGATCGGGGCGACAGGGGGCTCCCGGGGCAACACAGGGCTCTCGGGGCCGCCCCCGGGCGCTCTGTTAGTTGCCCTGAGGCTAAAGGCCGGGACGGCGGCGGGGGAGGCCCGGGACGGTGGCTCCTCCACCGTCCCGGGCCTCCCCCGCCGCCGTCCCGGTCCAGCTGGCCCTTTGTCGGTTGTCCCGTGGGCCGTGCGGGGAAGGGTTTCTGGTGGCTCATGAGTGCCAGCGTTGGGCTGGAAATAGTGAATAATCCCCCTGCTGTCACTCCCCCGCCGCTCTCTGGCATCGCCGAGTGTGGGGGGGCGGGTGCTGGTGGGGGAGGGGGGGGGCGGCTTCAGGATGAGGCTCCCCGGGGATGGATCACCCGCCGCTAGTGGCTTTTTTTCTCCCGGTGGGATAACGGGATCCCCTTGCCGGGGGATGGAGGGGTGCATTAGGGTGTCGCCGGGGTGCTGGCGGATGAGCCACGAGGAGGTTGTGCCCTCACTCGGTGGTTTCACATCGTTACAGTGTTGCTTTGGGGCTAAAACACGTTATTTCCCCCCCCTAAAAAAGGAGCAGCAACCTGCTCGCAGTGTGAAGGGCAGGATCCCACCCCCTTCTCCTGCTGGTTCCAAGGGGTCTGAGCACAACGACCTCTTCTCTTGCTTGCCATGTTAGAGCACAGAGACTCCTCCTGCTCGTCCCAAGGATTGGCGTGAGGGCAGCGAGGGCCCCGGTGGCCCGTGGGCTGTGGAGTGCTCTGGCCTCCCGGCCCCTCCTTTAGCTCCCCCTCCCGGTTTGTCCCGCAGCCCGAGCCCCCGCGCGACACGTTGCCCAGCAGATCCCCGAGGAGATCCTTGGAAACTCAGAGCTGCAGGAGGCGGCAAAGGCCCTGCCCCCAAACTACAACTTCGAGATCCCCAAGACCATCTGGCGGATCCGGCAGGCTCAGGCCAGGAAGGGTGAGCACTGACCCCCGGGGGATGTGAGGTTTTGGGGCTGGTTGATGCCACTGGGACCCTCCCTGGGGCGGGTGAGGCCGGGGCAGGGGAGATGCTGAGCTGCCTGCAGTGCCCTGGAGTGTTTAGGCTCTGTCTTGGCGAGCTCCCCTCCCCTCGAGGGGGGTTAATAGATCTGTATCTCTGGATTATAATCACATTGGACAGGACAGGTTGAGCTGTGCGGACCTGTCAGCCTGGAGATGTGTCTGGGATGCCGGCCAGGTCCCTGCTGTGCTCCTCTCTCCTCTTGCCTCTCTCGCTGTGCTTTCCTGACATGCTGCCGGGGCCGGGAAGGGGGACCCCTGCAGGGCTGGGCACTGGTGGAACTGGTGGGAAGCTCTGGTCTGAACCTTCCTTGGGGTCCTCAGGCGGCTGTGTAGCCCCAGAGATGTGGGAGTGGCACTGGTGGCCTCAGGGGTGATGCCAAGGCTTTCCCTGGTGGCCTGTGCATCCCGCTAAAGCAGTGTGTGATCAGCTACAGGCATCAGGGCAGGGAGCCTCCCCCTTCACCCCTGGATGTTGTGTGGCTCCAGGGGCTCCGGGCAGAGCCAGGTTGAAACGCTGTATCCACCTGGGAATGTCTCTGCCCGCTGGCACCGAGCTGGCAGGGCTGGCAGGCGTCATGGGGGATGTTCTGGGAGCTGAGCTGGTACCGGCTGTGATGCCTGTAGGGGGGCTGCCCGGCTCATCCCAGCTGTGGTGCGGGAGGCAGGGCTGAATGTGTCCCACCAGGACACGGCCAGGCAGCCCAGCCGTGCTGCTCTGGCTTTCCTCTGCCGTGTTTTGCTGCTTGGCACCTCCTAATTAAATGTAAATATGCGGCTGGGATTTAGGCTTCCGAGCTGGGAGCGGAGCCCATCAGCCAGCCAGCCGTGCTGGGATTTAAAAATCCGCCTGTGCAGAGCCCAGCCAGGGGCTGGTTGCTGGGGGAACGCAGCCTCCCACTGGGCTGAACCAGCCCTGCCTGTGCCCTGCCTGCAGCGGGGTTTGGAGGGGAGGGAAGGGGTGGCACCCCCCGTCCCCATCGTGCTGTGCCAGTGCAGAGTTACCCAGCCACCTCCTGCCAGCCACTCATGGGGGAATGCAAAGCTATTTGTAGATATGAGGTGGAGAGCGGCCCCAAATGTTCCAAAGTGGTCCCAAATGGGCCAAAATGGTCCCAGATAGGCTGGAGGATTCCAGACCCCTGAGTTCTTGGCCCTGCCAGGTCAGGCAGGGGCTGGCAGAGCACGTGCAGCTTTCCTTGGGCCCTGTTGGTCAGAACAGGGTGGGATTAGCCCAGTTTGAGCCAGGTCTGTACACAGCTCCAGGCTGGCCAGCAGGCTGGTCCTGGCAGCACGGGGCTTTCGTTGGAGGGGGATCTGGAGGGAATGTTTGGATAGATATCACTGAAGCTGGGATATCTGAGTGGGATGAGAGGTGAAACAATAACGGGATTAATGGGGCCTCCTCCATTCATCTCCCCCAGCATGGTCCCTCCTGCTCCCCACCGCCCCGTGGGGGACTCCTGGCTGGACCCCAGGCACTGGGAGGCCCAGCTGGTCTTTGGAGGGGAAGGGATTGTTCTGAAGCTTCGAGGAGGGAGCAAACCAGGAAACATCATTTGTTGTTGAATAAATTCCTGCTAAGCACAATGCTGCATCGTCACTGGCCACCCTCCTGAAATGGGGAGAGGAGGAGGGAGGGGAGATGTGGAGAAGGGCAGCGAGGATGATCAAAGGTTTGGAACAGCTTCTGTATAAGGAGAGATTAAATAGATTTAGATCCTTTAGCTGGAAAAAGAGGTGAACGAATGGGGATATGATAGGGATGTAGAATTGTGAATGATGTGGAGAGGCTGAACAGGGGATGATTATTCACTCATTCTTGTACCAGGAGAACCGGGGGCACACGTTTACATTATTAGGAGCAGGTTTAAAATAAACAGAATAAAGTACCTTTTCCTGTGCAGCACATAATTAAAATCTGGAACTCATTACTGCGGGAAGCGGGAGAGACCAGCAGTGTCAGCGGGTTCAGAGAGGGATGAGGTGTGTGCACAGGGACTGCAAGCAGGGAGAGTGGATATGGCCTAAAGCAGGACAACGTGCACCCCGACTCTCCAAGCCACCGGAACTTTTGGCCAACTTCTGGCTGTTTTGGGGAGGGTGATTCTGTGGCTGCTGCTCAAGCTGAGTGTGGTGACCCTGGAGCTGGTGCCCAGGCCCCCGCTTCAGGATGTGGCTTCCAGCCCCTCCTAACCCCGGGGCTGTTTCTCTTCTCAGTGGCCCTGCAGATGCCAGAAGGGCTCCTCATGTTCGCCTGCACCATCGCGGACATCATTGAGCGGTAAGACTGGGGCTTTTCCACGCTTCCCTGCTGGATTCCAGGGGCTGGCAAGGGGGTGGGGACTGTTGCTGGGAGCAGGGTGGCCGCTGGGCAGGATGAGGCCCAGGGCTATGGACAAGGGAATGTGGAGAGCCCCAGTGTAGCTGCACTCACGGGGCCGTACCGTAGCTGGGCAGAGCTGGGCAGTGCTGCTGCCCTGCAGCAGGTCATGGGGACCTGCTGCCAGCCCTGGGGACAGGGACCAGCACGGCGCCAGCCCAGCACCGCTCGGCTTCTCTTCCCCTCGCTGCTGTGCCGGGAACTGCTGACGGGCTCGGCATGTCGAGGCCCCGTGGGGGTGCTGGAGCTGGGGAGCAGCCATGTCAACAACCGGCTGACGCCAACCCAGTGCCTGCGCTTGCCACGGCAGCGCTGCCACAGCCAGGGGAGGGCTGGCAGCGGGGCCACCGCTGCAGCACTGATCTGTCCTCCTCCCCCGTGGCCTCGTCCTGTCTCTGCAGTCATGCTGCTCAGCACGGAGAAGCTCAGGGGCAGCCTTTCTTCGGCTGGGGAGGCTTCTTGAGGCCATGGTGATGGCACGGAAGGGGTCACTGCAAGTGACTCCTGCTGGGCGACCCCTTCCCCATGGTTCCTCCCTGGATTTTTCTTTGCTGCTTGGGGCCGAGGTTGAGGCACTGGAGAGGAGCTGGGCTGTGCAGTGACAGTGGATGCAGGCACCTTGCAGAAATTGGCCTTGATCTCTTTAGTGCCTGAGCGTCTCTCCCTTCCTCCCCGCCTGCCCCTGGCCCCCTGTCCAGCCCCTCTCTGTTTTAGCGCAGTGAATTAGTGCTAATAGCACCGTGTGCCTCGTCTGCCATGGGAGTCGTGGCCCTCATTAGCAGCTGTCTTCCCGGGGCCGGCAGGCTCAGCCTCCCCGCTGCCAGGAGCCGAGCAGCCGCTGCTGTGCCGGGTGGGAAGGCGGCCGTGCCCGCGGGCTTTGCCCCCCGCTTTGCCATCACTTCCCCCACGGGATCACGGCAGCCCCACGCTCGGTGGGGAGGTGGGCATGGGCAGGGGACGGGTGTGGGGGGCAGGGGATGGGTGTGAGCGTGGGCAGCTCTGCGTGGGTTTGTCCCTTTAAGTGGAGCTGCCTCCTCTCCGGCTTTGGCACCCAGCCGCTTTCATGTCTCCGACTTCAAAGGCAGCGGATTAAGGGGCTCTTTTATCTGAATGAAACCTTAAGCCTCACTTCCTGGTGGATGGTGAATTCCAGGGTGCTGAATGCCAGGATGCCAGTGGATTCTGGGGTACTGGCATCCCTGCTGGACCCACCCTCCCTGCCAGGGGCGCTCCACAGGGCTGAGGAGGGGTGCTGTGTGCCACGGTGAGGGGTGCTGGTGGGAGATGGGTGTTGTGTGGGTGGGGGTGCCCAGCCAAGGAAGGGGATGTGGCAGCACTGGTGCAATGCTGGTTGGATGGGGGATGGCCTCAAGGCTATGTAGTGGGGCTGTATCCTCCCTTCTCTGCCACTGTGCAGCACCCAGAGATACTCCCATTGCCAGTCCCTTGCTGGGAGCACTGGGTGCCATCCGTGATTCTGGCTGGGGATGTGGCCATGCTGGGTACCAGCACTGCCAGATGGAGGATTGTGGCCGTGGGCAGGAGTGGGCCCAGCCCTGCCCCTGCTCTCTTGGGGACACACTTGGGACCCAGTTCCACTGCCAGAGGTGAGTTGGCAGGTGGCCTCGTTAGTGCCTGCCTCTTCCTGCTATTAATATTCATCGCCAGCATTAATGTGGAATTGCAGCTCGGCCGCCGCTCCTGCTGGCCCTCCTCACCCGGCACTGGGGCTGGACAAGCCTCCGACGTGACGGGAATTGCTGCAGCCGTGTGCTCTGGGGGTGGCTGCTGTGGCCAGCCCAGGCATGTTGGCTTGGGGTACTGTCAGCCCTGGGCTAGAGTGTCCCCTTCCCTCTGGTGACAGACAGAATGCGAGGGCTGAGCGTGCTGGGGATAGCTGTGCCCCCACTGGGGGCATTGCTCAGTGAGCAGCCCTTCTCCCCAGCCCATCCCTGCAGCCTCCTGCCCCATCCTTGCTGGTAGAAAGTGGAGTTCAGGAGCTCCCCCTCCCTCTGCTCGCTCTGCTGATGGCTGCAGAGCCATGCCCGGGGCTGGTGCCCCTGGGGTGACAGTGCCCAACCTCTTGTGTTCCGGCTCAGCCGGAGCCGTGTCAGCTGCCACTCAGACGGAATATTTATCCCTTCTGCCAGAGCTGCCTTTTAATACAGTATTTGCGCTATGGCCTGGCGGTGCTGGGGGGAGCCGAGAGCAGGGATGTGGCTTGCTCTGCTGTAGCATGGACAGCTCAGGGAGGACACAGTCCTCTGTCTGTCTCCATGCAGGAGGATGGCAGCGTCACTGCATCCCTCACTGCCATGTGGGACCGAGCAGGCCCCTATGGAGCCCTGGTGGGGCAAGGAGAGGAGAGGGCTGCCAGGTGGGGTCTGGCTGGGCTTCCCGGCATTGCACTGGCGCTTGCTGAGCCCCGAGGGGCTGCAGGGATGAAGATGTAGCCAAAGTGTCAAAGCTGCTGCCGACAGGAAGGCCAGCGGGGTTCTTAGCCTGGAGCCTTTGAAATCAAGAGTGCACTTGGAGCATTATTGACCAGTGTGAGGCCCAGTTAATTAGTGTTAATAGGTTTGTCATTGTCAAAGCTGTGCCGGGGAGAGCGGCCAGCTGGGGGTGGGGGGTGGCGGGGCTGGGGTCTGCCGCGCTGCCGGCACCGCATCACGACGCTCTCGCGGCACCTTCCAAATTGGCTCCATTTGTCACGGCTGATGTAATTCGGCAGAGGGTAACTCGTGCTGGGGGGCGGCAGCGCGGAGAGCCGCGTGGGGGGATCTCGGTCCGCGGCTCAGGGAGGGGACAGCCCCCAGCCCACCCGCTGTCGTGCCGGGGAGGCGGCAGCCGTGCCCCCTGCACCACCGGCTTGTAGCAGGGGGGGCTGTGTAGCCGGGAGTGGACCCCTGCTCCCCTCCCTGCTGGGGCTGGAGCAGACGGATCAGCTGGGCTCTCAGCTGGGCTTTTGATTCCGTGTTAATAAAGTCGGCTGCCGGGCTTTGCAGCTGCTAATCCCTCTGTCTCTGTGTGCCACGATGGTGAGAGTGGTTCATGCTAATCAGACGTGGCTTGGTGGTGGGGAAGGGTGATGGGAAGAGGGGCCAGGAGTGTCCTGGTGCCTGCACAGGCTGCTCTGCCACAGCCTTAAAATCTCCCAGCTCCTGATGGCTTATGAGCATCTGTGTGAGGCAGTGCTGGAGGGGTGCAGACCATCCCAGTGACTGTGCTGTGGTGTGCCCAGGAGCTCATGGGGACTTTTCAAAGTGGCAGGGGGTCTTGAATCATCTCTGGTTAGGCAGTAAAGAGTTAAAAATCTGTGCACTTAGCTCAGCAGCTGTGGCAGAGCTTGAAATGCCCCACTATGGCCAGGACAAAACAGCCCCTGATGGCTGCTCTGCCTGGCAGTGCCCGGTGCCATGGCTGGTGTGCCCAGCAGGTTTCCAGTGCCATGCAGTCACTGAGTCCCCTGGCCAGGCAGGTCTGTCATGTGGCACCGAGGGCTGGTGAAACTGGCAGCATCACTAGGAGGTCTCAAAGCGCTATCCTGGGACACTGAGAGGTCAGGATCTGGCCTCAGCTGCACAGTGCTGTGGCTCTGCTGGCCAGTCCTTCTCCCCTTGTCCTTTAAGCACAACCTGGAGACACTGGCAGAGTGGTGCACGCTGTGCAGGGGAATTTAATCACCATCATTAACCACACAACAGCATCATTAGGAAGAATAAAGTTCTCACTTCATTGGAGATGTTTAAAACCTTCTACCCGGGTGATGACTGCATGAGGGGACTGGGCAGGGGAAAATATGTGGGATCTATAGGGCTGTCACCTCCCAGGGCTGTGGTGTACCAGTGCAGGTGGGGTGCCCACCACCACATGCTTCGTGCCACCTCCTTGTATCCCACAGAGCTCTGTGGCCTGGCCATGGTGAAGAGGGAACAGGCACCATCTGGTTCAGAACACACCTGGTGGCTTTGCCACCACCATGCACTGGCCCTTGGTTTGCCTTACTTTGGGGGTTTTTACAGCTACAGAGCCAGCAAAGCTGGGCTACTCTGGGACATGTCCCTTGGGATGGTGGTGTTGGCTCTGGCACCACCAGTGAGGACAGAGGGAGAGGTCCCCTGAGGGGAAGGGACCCAGCCAGAGATGTCTGCTCCTGTGGGGCTGCAGGGACACCCACCTCTCCCCATTCTGACCCACTTGCAGAAGCTCAGCAGGGCCCTGTGATTGCCCAGCTGCAACGGGGCTCCTCCAGCGCCGATTGCAATAAAATTGCAAACTCATTACTTTAATTATGTGCAGCCTTCCTGTGCTAATGAAGTTGGGAGTGTGGTAATGGGGCTTGGTGATGGGCTTCTCTGCTAATTAAGTGCATTGTTCTCGGACAGGGCTGCACTCAGCCCCCACGGGTGTCCTGGGACAGGCTGGGCTGGGGTGCAGGGCGGAGAGTGGGTGTGTGTTTTGTGGGGTGCTCATGGGTCTGAAGCAAGGAGCAGTCTGCTCCGTGTCACCAGCAGGACATGCAGACACCCCGGCATCGCAGTGCTTGTTCCATCCTCTGGTAGCCCCATGGTGCCAGAACTAGCCACTCTCAGCCAGGTCCCTTCAATCCCCTCCCCACCGAGGGCTGGTAGAGCCAGGCATGATGGACATGCTGGGGCTGAGGACTCCTCCCTGCTGGGCAGAGTGGCTCTGCTTCATGGCTCGAGGAGCAGCACTGTATCATTCACACGCTGCCAGGGGACCTCGCGCTCCTGCCAGCAGCAAACACTCTCATTCATCTGCCGAGGGGCTGGGATAAATCAGGGCTGCTCCGGCCAAGTGCCTGTGCTCAGGTGACAGGGTCTGGCTTGGGGACATGAGGGCCTTGTGTGTGCCTGTCTCTGACCCAGCATTTTCAGCCCCCAAACTTGTCCCTGGGTTGCTCTCATCTCTGTCCTGTGCTGGCCAGGGGAGAGTGGGGCTGGGAGGGACTGGGGGTCCCAGTGCCTGGGGTTGGGGCCGGGACCTGGCCCACCCGGGTGCACGTCCTGCCAGTGCTGAGCATGGCGCTTTGTAAGTGGGATTTTGGGAGCCATCTGTTTAAAGAAGGAGATAATGAATTAGGGGGAGATGAGAAAAATGCTAAGGCCAGGCGGTTTTTCAGAATGAGCCGGGGTTTGCGGGACGTAAAAGATGAATAACCTCCCCACGTGTTCAATATTCATGAGCTCCCAGCTGTAGTGAGCGTCTCTGCGCTGGGTGGGGACATCCCCGTCACTGCGTCCTCCCTTGCCAGCGTGCTGTTGGGACCCGTCCACAGCTGTGGTGACTTTCAGGCACACAAAACATGGGCAAGGGCACTCTCATGGCTGCCCCTTGCCTGCATCCTGGTCCCGTCTGGTTGGTGAGCAGCTCCCCAGCCTGTGTCGGAGGCAGGTGGCTGCTAATTGACATTTCCTTCCTCTGTAGTTTGATGAAAGACTCTGGCGACACCGAACTGATTAAAACATCAAGGGGAGGCCCTCGCGCCTGCCTTTGATTTGTCTCGGGAGATGATTACTGCTCCGCTCCACCGTCCAGCCCAGCCAGAGCCGGTGATCCTGGTGCGTGCTGTGCCATGCGGGTGCCTCTCCTGTGGCACCACCAGGTTCCTTCCTCCCTTCCAGCCATGCCGGCCACAGTGGCAGCACCATCGGGTTCCCTTCTCACCAGCCATCATCCCACAGCCTCTGTGCTCAGCTGTGGCTCCTCTCCCAGCAGCCAGAGCAGGAATGTTCCCCATGACTGGGGCAGGGCTCAGCCCTGCCTCTCCCTGCCCGTGGGCCAGTGGCCATGTGCCTCATGGCTGCAGCCCTGTGAGGTGTGCAGGGGCCACGGGCACCTCTGCCCTCCTTCCTCCACCGCTGCTATTTCACTTTCTTGCTCTTCACCCCCAGGGACTTTCTCTGGGGTTTGGGCCAATTTGCATACATTTTAATCTATAAAAAATTAAGCGGCGCTGGCTGCCGCTCTGAGTCAGACCTCCCCGTCCTGAATCTTAAGAAGCTGAATAATTTTCCACTTTTGCTGAGATGTGTGGAGTCTGATTCATGTTCATCTCATCACCTCTCATTAGAGGAGGGGGCTGAGGGCTTGAGAGGGTGGTAAGAGCCTTCTCGAACCTTCACTGGCAGCCCCCAGCCACACGGCGTGGCCATGCAGGCAGTGGAGGAGCCATCTGTCCATCTGGGCCACACTGGCAGCGAGGGATAGCGGGATTTGGGAGCTGGCAGGATTGGTCCATCTTCTGACGCTCCCCAACTTCACCCTTGGAAAACTGCGTGGAGTGGGAGACACCCAGGCTGGACGCGGGAGGTGAGGATGGCTTTGCCCCCTCTCCAGGGATGTTCCAGCAGAGCTACTCCCCTGTCCCCCTCCCCGGGCGGTGACGGATAGGCCAGAGCTGTTAATATTCAGCACGCTCCGCCATTTCTCCACCTTCTGCCATCTGCCCAGCTCTGCCCACCATTTCTATTCTTGCCGCCGACGTAACGCTCCCTGCCTGGCGCTTGGGGGGAGCGCGGGACCCTGGCCCCCAGCCAGCGCTGGGTGCTGGCAGGGGTGACACTATGCCAGGGCCCCCTCCTCCCCCCGCCCCCTTCACCCCAGCCCCGTGCCAGCAGCAGGGGGGACCCCGCTGGCACCGAGCTACAGCTGCTGGTGCGGCCTGGAGTAAATAAGGAATTAGCATCTGGTTTAAGCAGCCCCTCCAGACGCGGGGCTTTGTCATCGCGATACCTGCTCTCCTCCGTAAGCTACCACAGCAGCTTCCTGGGATGGCAGCCAAGCTTATAATCCCCCAAAATGGTGCAATAAAATACCCACAAAGGAGGCGCCTTTGAATCATGCCAGAGCCCTGGCTTTGCTGCTCGGTGCTGGTGTGTGCCCCTCTGCCTGCTGGCTGGCAGGTGCCCAGTGGACTTGTGATGGAATGCTGGGATCCCAGAGCAGGGATAGGGGTCGGCACCAGTGTTTTCTTGGTGCTATTCCGAGTGCCAAGCGCCATTTCAGCACCAGCTGTTCCTGGAGCACACCCAGCTTGGCCAAACTGGCACCCATGGGTGACACAGCCGGGCAGAGATTAGGGTGCACTGGCTCACATGGTGCCCAGGTACTGGGTGATGGAGGCTCGGCCAACTTGGCTGGAGATGCCACCGTGGCTGTTCTGCCCGTTCTGGTGGCTCCAATCCCCAAGGCTGGCCAGTGGCAGTGGCAGCACCACATTGTGCTGGGTCTCCCTCTGCTGCTCTCCCTGCTGGAGCATTAGGAAGCTGGCAGCGTATTGTTTGATGAGTGGATAATCCGCTGAATTGCAAACAGCTTTACCCAATTGAAGAGGCGGATTACCGCTCTCCAGCTTAATCATGTTGACATCTCGGAGAGTAGCCAGTGCTTGTCCTCTTTGGCGCGTGGCTGGGTGGCAGCGTGGGATCCCCCAGTGCCATGGGGCTGGGGGGCAGGACCTGGGCTGTGGTGGCACAGCCAGCCACGACCCTCACTGCTGTGCCTTCCCGCAGGTTCACGGAAGCGGAGGCCGTGGTGATGGGCGATGTGACCTACGGCGCGTGCTGCGTGGATGACTACACGGCCCGGGCCCTGGGCGCTGACTTCTTGGTGCACTATGGACACAGCTGCCTAAGTAGGTGACACTCGGCCCCGTGGCGCTGCCAGGGTGGCCATGCATGGCACTGCAGAGGCTGTGCTGTGCCACTGTGCCATGGTGAGCGGCTCCTCGCCCTGCTCAACGCCAGCTCAGAGACTTAGTGCCAAGGGCTGATCCCTTCCCAGAGGGATTTCTGTTCCCCAGCCTTGACTACTGGCTTTACACTGGGCCAGGCTGGCTGGGTGGCTGCCTTCAGGCAGGGTTTTGGGTGCAGCAGGGCGTGCTCGCCCTGCTCGGCTGCTGCAGTGCACAGATCACAGCCCTGCGCCCAAGAGCAGAGCAGCAAGGCCGTGGTTTGGCAGGACCCCACTGGCTCAGGAGCTGCCAGTGGGGATGAGGCTGCTCTTGCCCCCCTACCCTACCTCCGTGGGCTTTGGGGGAAGTCAGGAATGATGGCTGAGGGGAGCGAGGGCCTGGGGGTCCCGCTGGCCCCGGGGCTGGGGAAGGCAGCTTTGTGGGTACAGTGCAGGCTGGGCGGGGAAGGGAGGAGGAGGCTGTGTGCTCCCCAGGCGGACAGTACTCTGGATCCAGTTGCCATGGAAACTGCGCTGCTGTCCCAGATGCTGCTAACTTTGAAGTCCACCCAGGATGGAATCAGCCCAAAAATAACAATAAGACGCTCTGGGTTTTAAGGTGGATCTGCAGAATTGCCGTAGCGAGCGGCAGGAGCGTGCATCCTTGCTGCTGCCGTGCTCCCGGCAGCTGGCAGCCCTCCTGGACGTTTATGGGGTCGTATAAATGGGTTTGAAGAATTGCATCAGGCTCCGTGTGAAATACTGACTCCCCAGTTGAGAACTCTGTCCTAAAAGCCACGTCGGTGAGAGCGTTCGTGGTGATAAATATCTGTGCTTGGTGCTTTGTTATGGAAGGACGGTTATGGGCACCACTGGAACAGGGAGTATAAAACTCCTGGTTTGTATCCTGCTGCTCATGAATGAACAACAGGAAGGGGAGGAAGGGACTGTATCCATTGGCCTGCTCCAGGAAATGGGAGTCACATCTTCTGGAACTGCTCCCTACAAGGACAGGCAGGCAATGCCAGGCTGACTGTCACCAACCCAGCTGCCATCTGCTTGCCTGCACTGGGTTGGGTGGGTCACAGGGCACCCACAGGGTGCTGAGGGGATGCTGGACTCTTTCTGGGCTGCTCACGGCTATCCTGTCACCGGCGTGGCTGATGGTAGGGCACACAGACACTTTTCTGCTCCCTCCCGGCCCCACGTGCCCCGCAGGAGGGAGTAATTTGCACTTAATTGTGATCAGGTGAAGAGCACCAAAATGGGAAGTGAATGCGGAGCTGCGGATCGATGTGGACTCTGTGTACTTTAATTATTCACTTAATCGTAGTGACAAAGGCTTCTTAGCACTGGGGGTAATTAGATTTGTGTTCATTGATTCCCCAGGCTGCCATTATCCGGAAAGAAACAAGCGGGTGCTCTCCACAGATCCCATCTACACCCCCTGCCCAGGGTGCCAGCATAGGCAGAGCGTTGGCACAGCCCACCTTGCCCACTGGAGACCCAAGTGTACCCCAAACTCACACCTCTCTCCTCCTGTCACCAGTTCCCATCGACTCCACTCAGGGTCTGAAGATGCTCTATGTGTTCGTGGACATAAAGATCGATGCATCCCATTTCCTTGAGACCATTCGCTTCAACTTCGCGGCGGGCACCTCCCTGGCCCTCGTCAGCACCATCCAGTTTGTCTCCACGCTGCAGGTGAGATGGAGATCCCTTGGCAGTGCACGGCACAGGATGGGGCTTTTGTCTGCCCCTGCCTTGGCCCCTGGCTCAGTCCTTCCCTATCCCAGCTCCGGGATGGGAGCCGCTGCCCCAGGGTGCCGGTGGTGCCGGTTCCCCTCTGACAAGTCGCTGCAATCATACGCTGCTGCCGTAATGTTGATCAAGTACTTTATAATAACTCTGATCAATGTTTCATGGCGGCACCCCTCCCTGGCTCCCCCGGGAGCTGCTCTGTAAATGTCAGGGCAGGCAGTGGAGCACTTGGCATTTTGATGCAGTGCCGGCAGCGGCCGGGGAAGCTCCATCGGGTCTGTCTGTCTGCCCCTGAACGGCCGGCTGGGCAGGACGGGAGGAGATGAATGAGCCTCTTGAGCCATGTCTATCTAAACATGGGGCTATCCAAGCGTTAAGCCTTTTCCCTTGTCTTTTAATTGATACGTTTGTTGAGCCTCGCTGAGCATTCCGGCTGTGTGGGGCTGTTACTTGGTGCCGCCCCAAGCAGGCTGGCTCCCCTCCTCTGTTCTGTGCTGGGATGCAACAGCTGGGACTGCCAGGGCCACGGTGTTCCCAAGGGTCTTTTGCCACCCTCTGTGCCGTGGTCTGTCCCTGCTGACCTCACATCTCCTGCAGGCAGCGTCACAGGAGCTGCGCTCCCAGTACAAGGTGTGTGTTCCCCAGTGCAAGCCACTGTCCCCAGGAGAGATCCTGGGCTGCACATCGCCCCGGCTCGCCAAGGACACAGATGCCATTGTGTAAGTACCTGGAGTCTTCCAGGACCCTCCTACCCAGTCCAGGCTGCCCAAGCTTCCTGTACCCCCTGCCCAGTTTTGGGCAGGGGCGTGGTGGGGGATATCCTCAGGCTGGGACGGGCCCCCTCCAGCTCCTCACGCTGCTTTAAGTGGCGTGTGCTTGTAGCACAGAGGAAATAATTGAGTCGTATATCAGAATAGATAATAGATGGAAGGGCGGGTGGATAATTGGAAAAGACAAATGGCCGGGGCCCAACATCACAGCAACATTAATTTTATTTAAGGACAGCAAATTAGAGGGAGCACTTCGCTTCCTATCACCTAATTATTTTAGGTAATGGAAATGCTTAATGTACTGTGAATACAGTGTGCTGCAGAATAAATAAATACAAGGACCCCACCCTTGGGGGGAGCTGGGGAGCCCTGGTGTGGGTTTGGGCCCTGCAGAGCTCCTTCTCACCTGCACTGCTGGGAGCCAACAGCGCTGGTGCCTTTCTGAGCACGGCTGTGTGGGGAAACAAGCTTGTGATTGCTGGACGTGGGGTCAGTGGGAGCTCTGGCTTCACCTTGAGCCGCACCAGCTCTGCTTTGCATCTCTCCAAGGGCATCAGGAGCAGGAAGGGGTGGCCAGGCTGGCATTGCATTGGCGAGAGCATGTCCTTCCCTCTGCCAGAGGAGCGGCAGTGCAGTACCAACCAGCTGCCTTACCTGCGTCCTCCCTGCGTTATTATTTTCTTCTTTGCACCGTCTCTGGGGCTAACTTTTGCAGACAAATTAGCTTTGATCTCCCAAAATGTCATTCTCCAATTAAGGGCAAAATCTAGTCAAGTTTTACGTCTGAATTCATTTTCCAAGCCCTCACTCCATTAGGGCAGCTGAATGAAAGGCTTTGAAATGTAATTGCTGACTTGAAATCCGATTAGAAATGGAAGCAGCAACGTCTAGAACCAGCCATTGAGATGGAGCAGCTCCCAGCCACCCTGTGCCTGTGTGAGCATCCCTCTTTGCTCTGAGCATGGCTGGCTCTCCTGCCCCGCTGTGCCTGGGGCTGCACAGAGACAGGGAGCCCTTGCTGTGCCTGCTGTCCCTGGGCCCCACCACGGGAGCTTGGATTCCTGGCATCTCCACGCACCTGTGGCTTGGGAAACTGCAGACACACGGATGGGTGCCTCTGCTTGCCATGTGCCGTAGCTCTCCCTCCCCTCTTGGCAGGTATTTGGGCGACGGGCGGTTCCACCTGGAGTCCATCATGATTGCCAACCCGGGGATACCTGCATACAGGTACGGGCACCCACTCCAATCCTCCATGGGTGGGTGGGGAGCACCTCAACCCCCCCCCCCCAAGCACACCGGGGACCAGCTGTCCCCACCCTGCATGCCAGGAGCACTCCATACCCCAGGGCTGGGCAGGCAGCTACCTGCAGCAGGCACAGGCAGGTGAGAGGCCGCGGGGTGGGTGAGGAGGTGCAGCAGGGAGATGAACACGAGCCATTTACTCCGGCTGAATATAAACATTTTGACAAGTACCTGTGAAAGCTCGTGGAGGTGCAGCCATTAAAGCCCGGCTGCTGCAGGCAGAGGCCATAAAGCGCGATGATGAGGCGGCTGAAAGCAGATGAAATATCAGGAGTGAAAGGCTGGGCCCATTTGGCGGAATCTGAATTTCCTAGTAGGTCGTTTGTTACGAACGGGAGGCACACGTCAGGTTTATGGCGCTGGTGAAGCTGCCGAAACCCGAGTGGGATTTGATTAAAATTCTCCTCGTCAAACAAAGCAACAAATCAAAGGTTTCTTCATAATTGATGAGCCGGGTTGAGGGGGGAGCTGAGCATGAAGCCGAGCGCGGAGCCCAGGCTGTGCTGGGTGTTGGGGTGCTGTGGTGGGATACTTGTCCCTGTCCTTGTCCCCTAATGAGCTGGTCCTACATCAGCCAGGAGGACAGATGCTGTGGGAGGCAATTAGTGCTAATGAGAGACAGGCATCATTTGGGGCCAGTGCGGAGGGGGGGGCAGGTGATGGGGCATGTGTGAGCCTGGCTGTGCTTTGCAGGTATGACCCCTACAGCAAGGTGTTCTCCCAGGAGCACTACAGCCACGAGCGCATGCACCGCGCTCGGCAGGATGCCATCCACGCTGCCGCTGGTGCCCGCTGCTGGGGACTTATCCTGGGCACACTGGGGCGTCAGGGCTCCCCAAAAATCTTGCAGGTACCAGCCACCTCCTCCCTGTGGCCCCCGCTGGGGCACTGGGTGCTGCTGCTGGGTGGGGGTAAGGATTGGTGAATGATGGCATTGCTGGCACAGTGTCCTCGCTGCTGGAGCAAGGGTAGATGTGACACCATTTGCAACCCATCGCTGGCCACTGGCCCCCAGTCTCTGTGCCCCTGAGCTAAGCAAGCAGGGCAATTAGCAGTAGATGAGGGAGGCCGGACAAGGGCTCATTAAACCTGCCTCTTGCTGGGGAGAGCTGGCCAGTCTTGGAGACCACCCCCTCCTGCTCAGAGAGCTCGGCAATTAATTCCCTGGTTTTGTTTTAATTGGATGAACTTCCGATCAGGTTCACCATCCCTGCTCAGCTGCTGTGCTAGTGCTTTCTGCACCCCAGCTGGTTGAGGGGAGCAGGACAACAGTATCCTGCCCCCTGGGAATGGGGTGCCCTGCTGACACCCAGAAATTATGGGGTAGCTGCAGGTGAGATTTGGGGTAGTGAAGGGACCAGTGGGCACAGCAGGGCATCAAGATCGTGCAACTGCTGTTCCATGGGGGCGGGACACGGGCATGGCCAGGGCTGGCTTGGCAGGGGCCATTGAGTGGCAGCTCCAATGGACAAGGACATCCCTGGCCCTTCTCCTCCTGCAGGCTCTGGCCACAGCCAGCCCATGGCAGGCAGGTGTCCCAGGGCAGGCAGCTGCTAACGAGAACAGATTGTTGTCATTGAGCAGTAATTACTTCATTAGGCTGAGGCACGTGCTGGGGAGAGCTGGAGCCACGGCCGCAGTCCCTGACACTGCGCCTGGCCTGCGACTGCCAAGGGGACACGGCTGTGGGGCTGAGACCCACAGAGGGTCTGATGGACAGGAATGGGCAGTGGGCAGGGCTTGGGGGGCTTGATGGGGGCTCCTAACCCCCCCCGGGTGCCTTTTCCCCCTGCAGCACCTGGAGTCGCGTCTCCGTGCCTTGGGCCGGCCCTACGTGCGGGTGCTGCTGTCCGAGATCTTCCCCAGCAAGTTGCAGCTCTTCCCAGATGTGGATGCGTGAGTGCTGCTGACCCCTCCTCCAGCCCCCCACACGGGGTCCCCAGGGTGCCCCATCCCTGTCCAGGCCTCTGAGTCCTGCGTGAAGCCATCCCTGCCACATCTGTCCTGCTGTCAACTGGGTTAGCACTGTGCACTCCTGCACAAGCTGTGCCCAGGGAGCAGGGAGGGGGCATGGCTGTCCTTACCAGGATGGCTCTGGCACAGCACAGACCTTCTGGGGTGCTGCTGAGGGGCTTCACTGTGGCTTGTTCTTCCCAAAATGCTCATCCCCATTGTTGTCACCTGTGTCCCTTCCAGGTGGGTGCAGGTAGCCTGTCCCCGGCTCTCCATTGACTGGGGAGAAGCCTTCAGCAAGCCCCTGCTGACACCCTACGAGGTGAGCACTCTGCTCTTATTTTGGGGGGGGCCAGTCTTGGCATGGGACAGGCTTGGGGATGTCCCTGCAGCCAGGCAGCATCCCTTTCTCTCTCCATTTGTGTTCAAGCCAGTCAAGGAAGGCTGCTGGGATACCCAATCTCCTGTGTAACCTCGAGCTTTGCTCCAGCACCAAGCCACTGTGCTGGGACCCCTGCCAGCCCCCCATCACAGTTACGGCTCCCTGTCCCCTCCACAGGCCGCGGTGGCTCTCCAGGACATCGAGTGGCAGCAGCCTTATCCCATGGACTTCTACGCCAGCCAGTCCCTGGGGCCGTGGACAGCGAACCACGGCGGCACACAGCCCCCGCGCCGCGGCCAGCCGGCACAGGTGGGCGGCGTGGGGATCACCGAGGCAGCGGGTCCCTTCTCTCTCGGTGTCGGGGACGGGCGGGGGGAGCAGCGCCCGGTGCGGTTTGGTGGCCGGTGCCGCGTGCCAAAAGCGCCACCGCGTGGCTTCCTTCCCGGCGAGCAGGAACGGGGCCGCTGCCAGCCCGACTTGCGGGGGCTACCAGAGCCCCCCTCCCAGTACTTGCCGGGCTGAGCGCCCGCCTGGCCCTGCGGCTCCCAGGGATGGGGGGGGTCGGTCCCCCCAAAAGTGCCCCGCGGGGTGCTGTGGGCTGAGCACCGGCTGGCTCATGGCAGGTCAGGCAGGGGATGGGACATCTCTTTACCTCCCCTTAACCCATTTTTCTCTGCAGGGGAAGCCACCCGCGCCCCCCGCCGCGCCGCAGGATGGGCAGCAGCCGAGCACCGGAGACCCCGCAGCCTCATGAGTGCAGCCTTTACCCGGTCCTGCAGCCTCCGCTCTCCGGCAGGGGCGGGGGGGCACCGGCGCTGCCTCCCGCGGGGGTAAAGCACCACCGGGGCAACCCCCCGGTACCTGCGCTGGGATGGATGGGGACGTAACCGGATGGTGTGACCCCGTAACTCGATGACACCGCTGCCCGCGGGGAGTGACCCCCTGCAAGGCCAAGCCATGCTGCAGCGCCGGTCTCTCCGGGGGTCCCGTCCCATCCTGTCGCGGGACGGCCCCGCCTTCCCCCCACCCCTGCCCTGCGGCCTCCCCACCGCCAGGGGGCGTGCTGCCAAGTGCGCGGTGCTGCTCCGCTCCCTCCCCTCCTCCGGCCAATCAGCGCGCGGCCTTGCGGCGGGAAGGCGGAAGAGGCGATCCCGGTGGCGGCGGCCATGGCGGCGGAGCGGCGGCCGCTGCGGCTGCTGGCGCTGCACGGGTACCGGCAGAGCGCCCGCCGCCTCCGCCAGCGCACCGGCGCGCTCCGCAAGGCCCTGCGCGGCCGCGCGGAGCTGCTGCCCATCGACGCGCCGCACGTTGTGCCCGCCACCGCCGCTCAGGACGACCCCGACGGGGACGACCCGCCCCGCGGCTGGTGGTTCTCGGGGCCCGGCGCGTTCGAGGCGGGCGAGGCGGCGGCGGCGCCGGAGGGGCTGGAAGAGTCTCTGTCGGCCGTGGCGGCGGCGCTGGCGGAGCAGGGGCCGTTCGACGGGCTGCTGGGGTTCAGCCAGGGCGCGGCGCTGGCCGCCATGGTGTGCGCGCTGCGGGCCCGCGGCGACCCGCGCTTCCCCGTGAGCTTCGCCGTGCTGGTGGCCGGGTTCGCCAGCCGCGCCCCGGCGCACGGGCACTTTTACCGCCACCCCATCGCCCTGCCCACCCTGCACGTCGTGGGGGACACGGACGCCGTGATCGCAGCCCCGCTCAGCATGGAGCTGTCCCGCTGCTTCGTGGAGCCGGTAGTGCTCACCCACCCCGGCGGGCACTTCATCCCCGCGGCCACGGCGCAGAAGAAAGCCTACCTGGAATTCCTGGAACGCTTCCGCCCCGGGCGGGAGAAGGCCGAGCCCCCAGGGGCTGGGGAGGTTTCAGAACGGTCTATGTAATAAAGGGGGCTCTGGTGAGCCATGTGTATACACCCATCACTGTTTTGGTGCCCCCAGAGTCGTCAGCAGCTCCCTGCACCACTCTGCTCTGCAGTGTTCATCCAAGGCCCAGCTGAATCTCCCTTTTTATTTCAGCTTTCTTGTATACATGAGTCATCATGGCTAGGCTTCGCGAACGAAGATTTGAGAGGGGCTCTACCCACGCTTGCTACAAGCGCGCTGATGGCTAAAAAGGCCAATGCGAGATAGACAAGTCCGGTTGCAGAACGTACAGCAGAAAGACTCCCCAGGAGATATCGACAAGACGCGATTCTTTCTGCGTTGTCTTTTCTCCTCGAGAGTGATCCTGCGTGTGTTCTCAAAAGCAGCAGCAGCGTTATAGATGGTGTGTCTCCAGGCCTCCCGATTGGAGGCCAGGGTAGACCAATGGTGGTGGTCAATATGGCCAAGGCTGAGGGATTGTTTCAGGCAGTCCTTGGATCTCCTCTTCGGGCCTCCTCTCTTGCAGCAGCCAGTGGCAAGTTCCCCATAAAGCACGATCTTAGGGAGGTGATGGTCCTGTATCGTGGAGACGTGCCCTGCCCAACGCAGCTGAGTTCTCAGCAGCATGGCCTCAGTGCTTGGGACTGCTGCCTGTTCAAGGACAGACGTGTTGGACACATAGTCAGTCCAGTGGATGTTGAGGATTGTGCGGAGGCAGCGCTGATGGAAGCGTTCTAAGAGATGCAAGTGGTGCCGGTAAATGACCCATGATTCAGAACCATATAGAAGAGTAGACAGCACGATGGCTCTGTAAACACTGATCTTAGTACTTTTCTTCAGGTGTTTGTTTTGCCACACTCTTTTACGGAGTTTACCAAAAGCACTGTATGCCTTTGCTAACCTGTTTTATAAATAACATATATATTTATATAAAGTTATATACATATATATATGTATATAACATTGTATGACATGTAGTGTGACTCTGGGGGATTTGAGGGCAGGAGGGTGACACTGTGTGTGAGGTGCCTCCAGAGACTCGAGTAGCCGCTCAAAATCAGGGTCCCTCAGATCAGCCACAGGAAGTGTCTGCATGTCACAGAGCTCCTACAGAGCTGTTACACCCCAAAGGTTCGTGGGGTTTAATATGTATTAAGCCAAACCTCCAGCTGGTCTGGATCTGGAAAACCCTCTCACTCCTGGCTGATGTTTGTTTCGGGAGTGAAGTGTCTGCTGGTTCAGTACATGTGTTGAATCTTCCCTGTACAAGGTGCCTCCATGAACAAGAAAAACTTTTCACTCTGTTTCTGGCTCTGATAGTTTTTCCAGAAGCACATGGGAACCTTTATTGCTGTTACAGTTACAGGTGCTCTGCTTGGCTGCTGCCCAGTGCAGTGCTGTGGCAGACCAGGCACCAGCCTCAGGACAAGGCTGTGCTTGGAGGTCTTCTCTAACCAAGGCTTTCCTTGGAGGTTTACAGTTGGTAAAAGAAAGGAATCGAGTGTAAATTCTTCATTTTCCCCCTTCCTGGGCAGAAGGGCAGCGCTGTGTCGTCCCTGCAAGGGCCAGAAGATGACAGGAGCGGGCAGAGGGGCAGGGGCTGAAGTCCTTCCCATGTTCCCTCAGCGGGAACAGGCCTGGGAGCTGCCATGGGTTAAACCATCGCAGCAGAAACAAGCGGTTCTCGGCCCTGGAGGGGTTTTACCCTTCGGTTTGTTGCTGGTTACACAGCAGCACAGTGGTGGTGGAGGCAGGAGGAGAAGGCAGTTTCTCTGCAGCCCAGCCCCAGGCTGGTGTCCTGGGGGTGTTAGGTGGAGGGGGTTTGGACAGTGGTGGCCGGCTTGGCCACTTCAGCTGGGCTGTGTCACAGCTCATTTTAAGGTGTGGGGTGTCTGCACTCCTTGGTGACCACGTCGGAGAAGCTGTTTTTGGGGGAGAGCTGCAGCAGCAGCTCCAGCCGAACACGGCGACCAGCTGCGACAAAGAACCTGCGCTTTTGTCTCTGCTCTGTCCCCGCCGAGCCCTGGGCAGCCGTGGAGAGACGGCAGCAGCCGCGCTCGCCATGCCCGCCCGTAGCTCTTTAATCCCCGCCGAGCTCCGTCCCCGCGGTGATCGCCCGGCGCGGGGGAGGCACCGCAGCCATGGCCGCCCGCCCGCACTGCGGCCCCGCACCGCCGACCCCCGGCAGCTCCCGGGCACAGGGAGACACTTGGCACATCGCTGGCAGCGGGATGGGGAAGGAGCCCAGGGTGCGGTGAGTGAGCAGCACGGTGCCGGCTCTGCGGGCGGCTCCCTCGGGTGGGCTGGGGAGGGAGGGGTGGTGACCTGAGCTGCGGTGCTGCAGTACCTGCTTCTCTCTTCCCAGGGTCTGCTTAAAGATGGCTCCTACCGGGTGGCTCCTGTATCGGGTTTAAACAAATTAATAAAAAGAGATAAACGCGACCCTTGTCCGCGGGAGGTGCCTGTGTGAGCAGCAGAGGGAGGTTCTGCTCAGCCCCGGTGTGATGGGAGAAGGGAAGCGGCTCCCACGGCTGTCACTGCGTGTCCCCGCCGGACGGAGGGGTTTGCCCTGGGAATCCTTCCCTCTCCCTCCTTTTCCGCTGGCGAGATGCCCTCGGGCTGGCCTCTGCCTCTCTTGCAGATCCAAGTCTGTCCTTGGGATGCAGCCACACTGCTCAGCTGCCTGGAGACAAGACTGACTGATGTCCTCCCACCCCTCACTGGCTTTGCTGTTGGAGGGTTTCCTCTTCTCCCACCCACCCAGGAGAGTCGTTTTTTCCCCCAAAACAGTCTGGAGCAGTTGCTGTTGCTGAGTGAGGGGGTGATGAAGCAAGCCCAGGCTCTGGATGGCAGCCGTGCCACTGGCTTGGGACAAGGGGGCCCTGAGGACAGCCACTGGTGTTACCCAGAAGCACCGGGAGCCTGGGTGTTTTGGCGGGGGAATGTCATCCCTCTCCTCCCCAAATAGACCCTTTCCAAACCCAACACAGCCATCAGAGTAACCTGGGTGACCCCAGGGATAGGCCCTGCCTATGGCCCTGCTTGTGAGGAACCTGTCATGGCCACAGGGTGCTGGGGCTGGGCAGGGAAGGGCTTGGCTCCCCTCTCTCAGGTGAGCAGAGCTCCCAGCCCTCTCCCAGCATCTCAGGGAGGGTGGGAGAAGATCAGCATGAGCAGAGGCTCTGCCAGAGCTGCTGCCTCCCCACAAACTCCCACCACCTCTTCCCCAGCTCTCTGCACCCCTTCCCCCTGTGTCACCGCCAACTCGGGGTCTCCTTCGCTGCCCACCCTGCCAGCACCCACATGGGGCACACCAGGCACGGTCAGGGGCTCCTATGGGCAGCACTGGAAAAAGATGTCCCACCAAGCCTGGCATTGGGTGTGGATCGTGGCAGGGTTCGAGCCTTACTCATCTCACACTTTTCCTCCCCTGTCTCCACCAGCGGGGCCCGGCGCTGGCGTGGGGAGGGGGCGCTCTGGGAGGGTGATGTGTTTTGCAGACCGTCATACCATGCAGTTTTCCCCAAAGCTGCCTGGCTCCTGCCTGCAAGGAGGCAGCAGCACGGGCAGGGCAGAGCCAGGGGCCAGCCCCGGGCCCCGCTGCCGGAGCAGGACCAAGCCGTTGGGAACAGCCCCCCCTTCCCTGCTTCACCCGCAGAAGCTTCCAGTTGTGGCTGAGTCACTCCTGCTGTAGCTCCTTCTCTCCTTGTTTTGGATGGAAGTTTTCCATGGAAACCCACGCTGGGCCGGGCCGCGGGCTGGGATAAACACGGCTGAATCACAAAAGGCCGTTTAGCCAAGAGCTGTCAGCTGGCAACAGCAGTGTGTGCGGCCGATGGGCAGCTGTCTGGCCTTTGAGGGGGCAGCAGCAGCTCTCCCTGTACCCCCCACCAGCCACGCTGGCTCAGCCTCCCCCCCAACCACTCCAAATTTCCACGGTGCCAGCGTGCCACTCGGCAAAGCCAGGAGTGGGTCACAGGCTTCAGACAGAAGTTTTCTGGGACCACGTGCTTTCCTGGGGATGCACAGGGAAATCCTGTCTGAGACAGTACCTTGGGACCCTCACCACAGCCCAGTCCTCAGTTGTGGGGTTCTGTAGGGTCACAGCTGCTGGAGGTCCCGGAAGGACCCTTCCCACCCTCCCAGGCATGCACAGGAACGTGTGCCGAAGCCACTGGGAGCATTGCTGAGGGAAGGCAGTGTTTGTGCCCTGCCTGTGCCCTGCTGAGCACCATTCCACCGTGGAAGTGGCAAGTAACAACTCAGCCATGGCAGGGGCTGCGATCTTCCTTGGCACTATATTCCTTCCCAGCACCGCTGTGATCTCGGAGGAGCACGGGAGCTGGACGGCCTCTGTCCCCCGGCGCTCACAGCTGGCCCCAGGCCCAGTGGCTTGGAAGCGCCGTTGGAAGACAAGTCCTGGTGTCAGGAATCCAGGATATTTTTAAGGACTCTGGAAGAAAAACTAATTCCAGGGTGTCAGCGGGAGAGACTTGGCCTTCAAAACAACAACAGCGCAGCCGGGGCCTTCCCAGGCTGGAACATGGGGCCCAAGGGGCCACAGTGCTGCCCATGGGACATGTCCCCTCCCCCAGGGGTACCCCGGAAGGTTCACAGGTACAATCTCACTGTGATGGAGCACAAACAAGGAAGTGTTTCCCAGGGGATGCAGGGTGGTTTCCCGGGGGATGGAGGGTGACACCTTTACAGCGTGGATGTGCCAAACGCAGCTGCGGCTTTACCTGAGCGCTGATGGGACTGCCTGAAAATCCCCTTCCTGGAGGTGTGAGGTGTATGGCCCGTCACCAGCAGCAGTGAGGGGAAAAGCAGGAGTCAAAGGCAGGAGATGGGGCAGTGCACAGTGAGTACCTGGTACCTGAGATACTCCCTTGCCCATGGTTCCCCTGCTGCGTCGTGACCCTGCTGGCCCCAGGGACCTGTGGTGGCTTGTGCCTGTCTGGGTGAGGGCAGAGGTGCATGATCCCATGGGTGAGTAAGGGTCCTAATGGTGCTGCTCTGGAGAGAAGGAGGAGGCAGAGGACCCTCTCTG